TGCATATTTACCAAGATGTCTGAATCTAATGAAAGGACCCTCACAATGTAAGTTAGTTACTTGAAGTTGGCTTACTTCTTACAGAGAAGCAGCAAGGAAAGAAACCTTGTTGACTGTGAGCCAGGTGCCCAAAGTGTAAGAGGTGTTGGCTAAGTGCCAGTTTTACCTACGAATGGTAAACTTGTACTGCAGGCAATGTGCCCTGTGAATCAGCCTCTCCTATGTGTATAACAAAGCTTTATAAGAATCTTTTGACTAACACACTGAAGGATATTTTGTTTTGAGCATCCCAAAACAGAGCCCAAGCTGTTCTGGCCAATATCCTCTTGCATCAGGATGCTGCATTCCTTGAACTTTCTACACTAATTATTATGCGTTACAAGGTGAAATAGTGTGTGTGGTGGGGAGCAGAGGGTCAGAGGGATGATGGTGGTAGTCATGACAGTGGTGGTGGGAACTTTTTGGTCCATAATTAAATGGAAAATTATTCTTCACTTTCCTGTTTGAGACTGCCAGTTCTACTTCCTTTGGCATAATAAGACACTATACACAGACCCACCCTAGAAAATCAAGAACTCATTGCATAGGAGCAAGTGCGTAAAAGTAATGATAAATGATAAAAATTCTTATCTTAAACCAGCCGTAACTGTGATCATACCAAGATATAATTTACAGAGTTTCTATGCTGTATGCCATGTGCAAACATGCTACCATGTGTCCTCTGTACTGTCAACAAAAACAACCAGCCAATGGTAAGCAATGGAGAGAATAGAGTAGGACATCCTGATCCAGAGGGGAGGAGAAAGGAGATTGGGAGATTGGAGAGGAGAGGATGGGGAAACATCAGAAGTAATGAATGGACCTAAGATACGACTAAAAAGAAAGTATAATGTGGGAAATATGGATAGGAGGAAGCTATGGGGGAATTGGAGGTTTAGGATGGAATAATTATAGCCCAGCATTGTGCTCTGCATTAACTAAATAAAATAATAATAATAATAATAATAATAATAATAATAATAATAATAATAATAACAACAATAATGGAGTCCTTTGCCATGCAGAAGCCTTTCAGTTTCATGAAATCCCATTTACTAATTTGTGGATCATAGTGCCTAGGCTAACAGTGCTTTGTTCAGAAAGTTTTCTGTGCTATTCCCTAGTTTCTGTTCTGTCAGGTTAGTGTATCTGGTTTTATTTTGAGGTCTTTGTTCCATGAGGCATGAGTTTTGTATAGGGTAATAAGTATAGTATAGATCTATTTACATTCTTTTCCATGTAGCCATCCAGTTTGAGCAGCATCATGTGTTGAAGATACTTTTATTCAGTGTATATTTCTGGTTTCTTTATAAAAATCCAAGGGTCCACAGGTGTGTGGATTTAAGTCTGGGTCTTCAGTTCTATTCCATTTATCAACATGTCTGTTTTTGTGCCAGTATCATGCTGTTTGTTACCATATCTCTGCAATATAATTTGAAATCAGAGATAGTGATACATCCAGGAGTTCTTTTACTGTTCCAGATTTCTCTCAGTTTTGGGATTTCTTTATTTATTCTGTTTCCATTTTCAGTCTTTTACTGGTTTATTCATTTCCAGCTATTCATTCCAGTTTATTCATTTCCACTATTTGTTTATGTTTTCATAGATGTCTTTAAGAAATTTATTAATTGCCACTTTAAGGTTATCTATCATTTTAATAAAGGCTATTTTAAGCTCTTTTTCTTATGCTTCAGCTATGTTGCAATTCTCAGAGCCTGCTGTGGTTGGGTTGTGGAGGAGTGGTAAGAGAAGAGAAGGGAGAGTGGAGATCTGAATCTTGCCTACCAGTTCCCCTGGTTTGCTTGACTGGCCAGATTCCAAACAATGCCTCCTTGTGTTGTGGGCTGGGTTAATGGGATTTGTGAGAGGGAGGAAAGTTTGAGGAGAATGTCAGTGTGATCCACTGGAGATTGAGGCAAAAAGGAAAGGAAGGTTGTAACAGGTGGCCTGTTACAGAGCTAAAGAGAAGACTTGGGAGTTGGATTTGGAGGAGAAAGAGAGAGGTAATAATCTATAGTTAGCCTGCCTGAGAATGCAAAAATCCTAAATATCAAGAAAACAAATAACCTAATTTTAAAAGTCTATAAACAAAGAATTCTCAATGTGGAGAAATCAAATAGCTGAAAAACAAAGAAATGTTCGACATCATTAGTCATCATGGAAATTCAAATTAAAACTACTTTGACATTTTATCTTATACCTGTCAAAATGTGTAAGATTAATAAAACAAAAAGGTAGTTTATGCTGGTGAGGATTTGAAGTAATGAGAGCACTCATCCATTGTTGGTGGAACTTCAAACTTGTACAGCCACTGTGGAAATCAGTGTAGAGGGTTCTGCAGGAAGATGAGTCAATCTAAAGATCCATCTATACTGCTCTTGGGCGTATATCTAAAGGATGCTACCAAAAAGACACTTGCTCAGCTGTGTTTATTGCTGCTCTTTTCATAACAGCCAGAAATTGGAAAGGACCTATACGTCACTCAACAAATGAATGGATTTAAAAAATGTGGTGCATTTACACAATGGAATATTATTCAGCTGCTTTAAAAAAATCGTGAAATTCATAAGTAAGTAGACTTAGGAAAAAAATCATCCTGTGTGAAGTAATACAAACCTGGAAATACAAATATGATATTTACTCACTTATGTTTGGATATTAGCTGTTAAGTCAATGATACCCGTTGATATAATGTTCTTGTGGAAAGTATAAAATTTACCCTTGTTCATTCAAATGCTGATTTCTCTACCCCACTATCTGGTTTCAATCCAAATATTGCATTGTGATGTTTATTCTAAGCATCCCTTGTCTCAAGTTTCTGTAAACATGTCATCATTTGTTCTCTATATTGTCAAGAAAACAACAACCAGCCAATGCTGAGCAATGGAGAGAGTAGTGTGGGGCATCCTGGTCCAGGGGGAAGGAGAAGGAAGCAATTGGGAGAAGTTGGAGAGGAGAGATTGGCAGGAAAGGACTTGGAACCATGAGGAGAGATGAACTAGACCTAAGATATGACTATAAGCAAAATGTGGGAAATCTGACTGGAAGGAAACTGTGCGGGCTTGGAGGTTTAGGATTAACGATTGCCCAGCATTGTGCTCTAGGTTAATTAAATAAATCCTAGTATTTGTGTAGTGATTTGGGTTTACAGCTGGTTTAGAAATAACTGCTGCTTAACTAAAAGATAAATCAATAATAAATGTTAATAACCAACAACAGATACCCAAACCACAATTTGTAGAACCACAGAAGTTAAGTATGGAATAAGGGAATTGGGAGGGACAGATAGATTTTTCTACGTAGAATAGACAATTATGTATTGATGAGATGGGGCTGAAATGAGACTATCATGTCAGGAAGGAAGAGAAGGAGGATGAAAGAAATATCAGAAGAGACAGCTAAAACTAAGAGCCTTTTGAGGAATAGTACGGAAACCTAGAACAGTAGAAGTATCCTAGAATATATACACATATGAAGGCAATGTAAATGAAACCACCAAATCATGGGGGAGACAATGGCCCAACCAGCTTTTTTTTTTTTTGTCACCAAATGAAGCTTCCAGTACCACAAATGGGTTACATTTAATTGAGTTATTGAACAAAGAGGTCCATGGGAATATCCAAACACCCCAGCCAAGATTGTGAGTTTCTCTACAAAAACTAACGGCAAGGCCCCATTGTTGAGGACAACACTACACAACTCATTGAACATAGGTTTTCAGGAAAGAAGGAACATGAAAAAATCTGAAGAACTAATCAAGATTAGTCAATGAGTTACTTAATTGTTCATCCACAACTGCCACCACAGGGAGGGCTGGCATGAAGCAGCCATGGCAGATATCATGACAACCCTAAGCCTATCTAGCCTCTATTCTGATTTTATAGAATAGACTGAGCTAGGACTTGGCATCACAGAAATTTTAAGGACTGTATAGTATAAAACAAAGGGTCCAAGGTTCATGAGCCTATTGTTTGTAACTATCCCATCAGTGGCAGTCCATGTATCAATTCACACTAGTCAGAATATGGACAGAAGGACAAGGGATAGTCTTCAGGGAATGAGCAGATTGGTGTCCCAAAGCTAGCCAAAGTGAGTATTCTCTTGACCATTCTCCGGAAACAGTGTATCCTGAAGACACCCCTTCCAGTAAGCTCAGTCTAAAGCAGGGATGGGTGTCCACAGAGGGCATCAGAAGCTTCCTCTTGTATTGTTTACATATGTTAACACCCTAGCCTCCAAATGGATGGGAACTCTTGGGTCTTCCCTGTTTGAGAAAGAGGTATTCTTATGAAAGAGGAAGAGAAATAAATCACATCCAGTTACCAGTACTTGACACTGGGTCAAGGATTCATCAGAGAGCCAAAAAAGAAAGACATGTTTACAAGGACCCCCATACTTAAGGAGTCCCGGGCCATAAAGATCTGCCAGTCCTCATAAAAGTGTCTTAGGTCCTAGGAACTGGAGATCTGCGGGGTCTGTGGTGGCTCAGGCAGCAGCCGCCACCCCCAGAGCTGCAGCAGCCCCCAGACAATATTTTGCCTCCAGGGTGAGTATTATGTGGTTTCCTACGCCCCCTGGAAGAACCTAGCCATGTTTAAAAAAAAATAGGTTTTCTGACTTACAGAGCCCAAGTAAGAAGAGAGCCCTAGCCCTTGTCACTTTGGTCTCAGAACATGCTGTCAGTACATTATTGATCCATAGCTGCCAAGACTGAGCTCTGTGGGTAATGCTAGCAAAACAAACAGGAGTCTAATGAGGATCATTGAAGAAGGCTTTATTAATCTGAAACACAGAAGGAAAGTAGCAATATGGGAGCAAATCTTGACTTTCCACAGTTAGATTTCAGTATTGTAGTGAACTGGGTGGGAGGACAGGAGGAAAGGGCAAAAGAGCCATCAGGGACAGGTCTTCTGAAGATGCTCTCCTCTTGTACAGCTTGTCCAGTGTCCTTAAGGCAGAAGTCAGCAGCAGCCCCCAGACTGCTGGCTGCCACCACAGCTGCTGCCCCCACTGCTGCCACCACAGCTGCTGCCCCCACTGCTGCCACAGCAGCCGCTGCTGCCCCCACTGCTGCCACAGCATCCAGAGCTGTGACGATGGCGACGCAGAGATCTGCGGGGCCTGTGGTGGCTCAGGCAGCAGCCACTACCCCCAGAGTTGCAGCAGCCCCCAGAGCTGGAACCACATCCGCCCCCAGAGCTGGAGCCACAGCAGCCCCCAGAACCCAGGCTACAGCAGGAAGACACAGGCGGGCACTTGGGAGGGCACTTAGGAGGGCACTTTGGGGTCTGGCACTTGGGAGGGCACTTGGGGGTGCACTTGGGAGGGGGCTGGCATTGCTGCTGGTTCTGCTGGCAGGACATCTCTGTTGGGGAGTGCTGCTCTGGAGCTGTGGGAGAGTCACACACAAGTCAGATCCAAGTTTACTCTCATCCTTTCTAATTTCATCATTTCTAATTCCCTCGTGAGTCTTTTGATAGGACACAAGAAAGTGATAAAGATAATGATTATCTGATAAAGTTACTAAGTGCTTTGTTTTAGTATCTCATAACAAACTCCATTTAGAATGGGTCAAGCAACACACTCTACAAATACGCCAAGGAAATTGTTGATCGTTAAAATCACCAAAGTGTCCAGCTGAACACTCACTCTCTCACATCACCCAGAACTCTGAAAACATTCAAAGAATTTAGAGCTGGAAAGCTCTTTCAGGAAAGAGGGAAGACATTCCCTCTAGAGGCATTTCAGAAATACACAGGTTAGCAGAAATGAGTTCTTTGGAGTCAGTTTGTAACCATGAATTTGCACAAGAAAAGAAAGAAAGAAAGAAAGAAAGAAAGAAAGAAAGAAAGAAAGAAAGAAAGAAAGAAAGAAAGAAAGAAA